GTCAATTAACTCGTCGCTGTGGCCACTTGTTTCTTGGTCCGTTACTTCTGAATATTCATTGTTTTTCGAGTATATCGTATTGTTTCTTCGGCTATTCGTTAATCGTTTCGTACGTCGTTTGTTTCTGTGCTTTTCTTATTATTGCACTTTACCTTTCCGAATATCTTATTTATTAGGTAGCACTAGTTATAATATAAATGTTCAGTTATTAATGTATATTAAATATCATCTACACCGTCATTGAATTGTTTTGTTATTATTGCACTTTACCTTTTCGAATATCGCAGTTATTAGGTGGCACTATTTATAATATAACAATTTTTGCGAATGATCATCGTTTAATTGAGAAAATTATACTAATTCGAATTGATCGAGAGGCATTCAACCTATTAAATATCATCCACTCCATCATTGAATCGTTTTATTATTATTGCACTTTACTTTTTCGAATATCGCCGCAATAAGGCAGCAATATTTATAAAAATTCTCGCAAATCGTTTAACTGCCTAAAATTCTACTAATTCGATTTGATCAGGAGGCATCCAACCTGTTAAATATCATCCACTCCGTCATCGAACTTATTATTTACAAAAATTCTCGCAAATCGTTTAACTAAATTATACTAATTCGATTCGATATCCATCAACCGATCCATCGCACTGCGTAGAATCGCCTAAACAGATGAATAAACGATCAGACACGCGACAATTCGCCACCGGGTCGAAACGACCCAGCATTCGTAGTTGCAGGCTCGGTACCCGGCAGTTATCCCCCTCAGGATTCTGTGCCGCGTTTCTGCGAGCTACGTGCGCCCGTTTACGGTGACCTACGTGTACACACGCGCGCGTTATACTTTACACACCGGCGACCATTATGCGGCCGCTAAAGCTCGAGCAGCGGCAGCGGCGTGCGCGCACAAACGAGAGCCTCGGAGGTCGGTTCTTCAAGGGCCGCGCGACCTTGACACGCCGCGCACACGAGCAAGCGCGCCTCGTCGGCGCAAAAGCTCAGCCATTCGCGATACAAGCTGCGAGTTCTTCGCGGCCGTGCCGCAAACCCGCTGAATTATACATGGCGGGACGCGGCTCAGGACCGCGATACGCCCGTACGCATCGAACGCGCGACTGGGGAAATGAAATCGTTGCGGCAGAATCGCAGATCACGCCTGCAGTTACCTCTGCGCCGTACCCTGCTCGACCCGCTCCCCTTTTCGAGGTTGAACTTTGTTGGAGCCGAAGAATCGCGGACAGAACTTTAGCTTCGTTTCGCTGGTTACCTTCGGGGACCATCGGGCGAGGATGTTATTGCGAGCGGATGCTCGAGGATTAACAATAGATTTTTAGAGACGTTTATCCGATACTTTATTGTATTGGTTATAGGTAACTATGGTATTTGTAGTTTCGTAGTTATTGGTTAGATCGTTTTTGGGGATTACTTAGATAATAGACTTTAACCCTCTATGGGCCGACTTTTTGTTCGTGATTATAACAAAATCTATGCAGTGGAAAATTAATAAGTATCCACGTATGAATACGAGTTAACAATGTATTGAATGGTTCTAATAATTTTATCGAACGAGTATATTTTGTAGCTTGAAAGCTACAATGACAAGAAACTTTCACGCCTGAGCGTATAAAAGTTTAGATTGATTGATTACTTAATTTTACTCATCACTTTGAGTGCAACATGAAATAAATTGCCAAGATAAGGAGTTTTTGTTATTGTGGTATGTAAAGGATGTTATGTGGGAGGATTCTGTGGAGATCAATGGCATCTTTGTACAAATGTTTTTAGATATCAATATTGTACTGACAATATGTATTGTAATATAATTATAATATTAATAATATTACAATATAATTATAAGATTAATAATATTTAATATACTTTTATAC